AAAGATAGTAACTTCCAAATAATTAATTAGTTTTTAGGGTCTAAAATTAATTACGCCTCATTGCAAAAGAAATAAAAATATTAGTAATCAAGTCAAAATTTTAAGAAAATTTACTTTAATTATATCAATTTCAAAAATTGAATGTTAATAAGTTCAAAAATATCTTTTGATACTCTTCTTAAAAATTATATCGAAAGATAAACCATTTTATTTCATTTTAAAACTACTATAAACTACACCAAGATCTGCTTTAGTCTCTAAAAATATAGAAGACCTTTTATAAGTATCAATATTACACAAAAACTAAATTATTTATTCGAAAATGGAAGTCCGCTATTAAAAAAGAAAAACATCAATAAGATAATTAATGGTGGGAAAATAATATAAAAAAAATAAATTGTTTATTGATTAATAATAATTCATATAAGAAAAAGCTTAATACTCATGGAATAATTCATTCATTATTGAAAATAATTTTCCCTTTCATGTTAAACTTTTAAATAATATAAGATTCTAGTCTAATCTTGACACAAATAAGATTCATGATGGACTTCATTTTTTGTTATGATTTTGTTTTTAAAAAATAAAAATAAAAAAACTATAATAAAAAATTATTTATATAGAATTCTTTCAAAAAGAATTTTCTTTGATGAAGCTCTTTTATTTTGACAAAATTCATTTACATATAATGAAATTGATGAGTATTATTTCTTGTCCTTCTCTGAAACAAATATTCAAATTAATAGCAAGTAGTTCTAATTTATAAGTATCCCTTACTAATATTACAAAATCTAATACATGTAAGAAAAGTTATTTAGAATGATCTGCAATTTTATAAGGCAAAAAGTGCTTTTATTGTACCTTCTCCAATATTTTTACTCTATATTTTTATGCTTCTATTATATAAGAACAAATGAGCAAATTTTAATCCTAAAATATGTTAAATAATCGATTTCTTTAAATTAAATAAAAGTTTTAATCAGTTTAATATCATCTTTTCTAATTTTTTTTTATTTTGTAAAAATAATTACTTCCAAAAAATGGAATAGGGATCAACAAATTTTAAAGCAATCTTAATCTCCTAAATAATAAAATGAAAGGTTGTTATTTGTACATTACAAATGTATTCACTATATATAGTAGTTAATTACAAATATGTAATTATTATTTGTAATATTCAATTTAGTTGTTTAGACCTCAAAGAAAATTTGATTAAAATGTTAGGATATCAATAATAAGAATAGATCTACTTATGAATATTAAGGAATACTAATAAATCTCAAACTTAAATCCTTAATTTTTCTTATAAATATAACAATGCTCATTGAAATTACATAACCAATTGTTGTTACACCAATATTCTCTCATTATATTCATAATATATCTGCTTAGCTATAGCTGACTCATTTTTGATTTTGTCTTAACTTGCATGAGTATATTATCCAATGATCAATATCCACTGAATCTAGATACTATATCTCATTCTCTTCTACATTTTCTATATAAATATAATATTGATTATTACTCAATTAAATAGCTAAATAAAATACTTATTCATTCTCAAAAGGACTTCATTTCTTTTTTTTTAATTAGGTCAATGATATATTTTGCATAAAAAAAGGGGTCGGTTTTATACATAAAATCTTTTTTTTTATATATAAA